CACCCCGCAATAAAACAGCCGAAATCATCCCTATCTTAGCCATTCTTTTTCTCAAAACCTCATACTTAAATCGCCCATCTTCTCCAATTTCTTTCATTATTATTTACACCAACTCGTCGCTTAATTCAATTTAAATTACCCGCCACCCCTTCGCCATCGGACAGTTTAAGGCATCAGAGGGTGTGCCCAGTATCTAATCGAACATTTTTCTTTTCTTTCCTCTCCTCCCAGTTCTTCTGCTCCTTCTATTTTTATCCCCAAATATCTGAATAACAATTTTCCTTCATTTTTGCATTGGATGTAAAAATTACAGGACAGTGCTTTATCATCTGGAAAATTCTAGAGTTGACAATAAAGCAATGAAGGATCGTTGATAAAGGAGAAAATGCGTATCTAGATGCTTGTTCCCAATATGTGATAGCGATCAGCATATATTTCCGATGAACTTGTGCTCAAAGTGATACACAAAATAAGACCATGTTATTAATTGACTCATAATTTTTTATGCCATCGGTGCCCGTAATCGCGCGATTCTAACCTCGCTTCGCTCGGTTAAATCGCGGATTCCGGGCGCGATGACATAAAATTTTGTATGAAACGCGTGCGTAATATATTTTTCGACTCGTGGGATTGTAAAACTCGCCTTCGGCTCGTGTTCCAAACCCCCCACGAGTCAAAAAATATATTACGCACGTGTTGCATAATATACTATTTTATTTTTATATTCCGGTCCTTTCTGCCCTTTTTGGCTGATCAGTCCTATCCAACCATATGCATCTGGCTGTGGATCCTACACTATACCGTATATTCATTCTCCTATAGAACATCGGAGTGACATGGGAAACCACAGGAAAAACCATGTCGGTACAGACAGCTTCTCTCCATTGAAAAATTCCATTCAACGGGGAATCGAACCTACAACTTCCAGAACACTAGGCTTACACCTAACCACTGAGCTACCAACATCGTTTTTTTTCTCATTTAAAAAATGTATTGCCATCATATACATACAATTGAACATGAACCGAATTCTTGCATGAGTGCATGTAAAATGATAATTGTACCGTGTCCCATAGTAATTCGGTTGTTACATGATAAGGGTGCCACGTCCATTGTAATATTTACTAAACTTTGATGACGTCTACTATGGGCAGCTACTATTGCAACATAGAAATTTCCACTATTTAATTTTGTTCGTGTGCAAGCTAAGCAAAGCTGGTAGCTAGTAAGTTTATTAGCAGCACGTGGTTGCACACAGGTGGAAATACCACACAACTATATGTATATATATATGTATATATACATGGTGATCAAAAGTAGAGGGGTATTTTAATGGGTAGGAGTATATAGCGAGCAGTAATAAGATAGCAGCTAGAGTTGTCTCGTTATTGTTCAAATGGAGGTGGAAGCAAAGGGGTTCAAATGACTGGGAGGTGGAGAAGCTAAATTGCCGCCCTAAGGCCCCAACATTCGCTAACCGCTGCTGGACCAATTAACTTTCAATTAGGGAACTGAGATAACTCCTTATCGTAACGCTACTACAGATTTTATGGTGCAACCCTTCTTTACTCAGAACATTTATGTTCAGAGTTTCTGACTCTGATGCATGGCACCTACATTTCGATATCAACATTCACGATTTACTGAAGAAAAAACATAATAAATATATATCGAGGGGCATCCTCACTTTTCCATTAACACATCGAAATGTAAAATAAATTTGATCTCGTCAATCGATCTCGAAATCAGCATTAACTCTCGTGATTTGCAGAAATTGGGGAATTCTTTTTGAAAACCTTTCCTCTGAAAGAGGTTCTAAAAGTTTCGTCAATGTTTTCTTCTCTTATTTGATATTTTTATTTTCGTCGAAAGAGAAGTTCCACCCTTCAGAATGTTGCAGTCAACGAGACACGACGCCGGTGTATACTTGGCATGCATCCCCCGATACGAAGGAATCCTTATTGTATCGTTGCACGTGAGAGTAATGCACAAATATGAACTACTGTGTGCCTCCACAAGGCTTACCAACCCATACATTTTATCTCACTCCAACCTATCTCCTCAACGTCACCTTCTTCATCATACCAAAGTTTCAGTCCCATGGCGATAACTTTGTCCTCATAACACCCATACATATCGATGTATTTTCCCTCTACCATCACAGTGCTACCTCAAAAAGATGGCCCATCATTGGAAAATCGTTTTATACACCCAGAACCAACATATCAAGAGTTTTATATGATTGAACACTGGAAAAAACCTTGCAATATTATGGAGATTTTTCTCTCTCAATCCGAGCTTTGTATTCTGTCATAAGAAAATCCTATGTAACGGTTTTTCTTACTCGATCCTCCGATATGAAATTTTCGTATTTTTTATTATTTATACTAGAATTGACAGTCTTCGGGTGTCCGTTAATTTTTAGTTAAGTTAAGTTTTACTTTTTATTTTTAGTTAGATCCTATATTTTTTTTATATATCGGGGTAAAAAAAAAATATAATCGGAATATTTTTTCCAAATTTTCAAAAAATTTGAAAAAAACCTTTCGATTACAATTTTTTTTTACTTGGGTAGGTACATATAGTAGAAATAGATGAGCGAAAAAAAAATTACTCTTTTTTTTAATGAAAGGAATTAGTATGGTATATTTATAATTATGTAATTATGTCATCAGAAAATGTTATGAAATATCTCTCTCTCTCTCTAATTAAAAATGAAAAAAAAATTCTAATCGTCTCCTAGTTTAAATAAACACTATTGTAAGTTAACTATAAATCAAAATATAATGCCTTTTCCCCGGTAGCTGGACTTTATTTGAACAATCTGGTGGACGATAAATTAAGGATCCCAATTAGACACCACCTAATTTCCTAGGCATGGAATAACTTTAGTTTTGCTCTAGGCAAAAGATTCGCATTAAGATCGATTGGGGTAAGATAACACTTGGCCGAGAATCCTCATTCTCATCCGTATATATACTTGGGGTTCAACCCATCTACCCTAAAAAGAACACCCCTTTATTCATTAATCCACCCCTTATCGCGGATCAGACGGCTTAAAGTCTACACTCACCAGTGGTGACGGCTGACAACTTGTTGATTCCCCAAAATTAAATGAATCCGCTGATTTTTAAGTTCATAGCATTTAGAGTACGTGTCGTTGAAATTCATTGAGAGAGACAATCCTATTCAATCCTATTTCTAGATTATTTTATCATTTCACAAAAGATATTCAATAAAAATTACACAACTCGTACCATTCGTTCATCGATTATAAGGCAGGGTAATTATAAATTGTAATTGTAATTGTAAATTGGAATATGGCCCATAGTTTTATTTTTTTCTTCATTTTACTGATGAAGAAATTTATTTGTATCGACCAACTAATCGATCAGACCCGTCATGATTCGATAAATTCAAGCAGTACGTCTGGAATATGCAACGATCAATTATATCATTCAAAATGGAAGGCCTGCATTGCAAGCAGGCCGCATGGTAACTCACTGAACTATATTGATTTTGTATATATATGAAATGAAACTATCACAAACGTATATACATTACGTGCATCCACATACAAATTTTCACGTAGAATTTGTGGATGTATCGTTTGTATGCAGTGTCGCATCGGACAAACGCGCCTTGCTAGCAATTGTGAAAGACTTTAATACGATGCCAGATTCCGCGAAATCGAGTGATTGTTCGATTACCTATTTCTAGGTGAGTCGGCAATCGTCAGAATTCAACGGGGGTAAATGTCTAGTTGAGGTCCACCAAACCATTCTGGATGTTTTTTATTCGATTGGATGGGTTTCCGTCGCCTGATTAAGGATCTGGTGACCCTTTTATCCGGAAACAATTGGTATGGGAGATATGACATTTAATGCACCGCTCTCTGCGTTATACAGGGCCACGGAGAGGACGTGGCGGTGTGTCGGCCCCCAAGACACCATATGTTGGCACATTTATAGACAATGGACACACAGAAAGATGGATTTCATCAAATATTCCTGGACACTTGACTAAAACTCTGAATTCACCTCACCCGACCATCTACCATCGCTGACTGAACACAACGAGTGATTTATCCGCCGCTACCCTTCTGTAGCAATTCAAATTATTGAATTTAATATCACTCACTCGTCGTGTCAACAGCGACAGCAGGGGGAAGGAGGGTTTAAGGAATTTCAGGGACAACAGAGTTTACCTCAGGATTATTTTTCGATGTATTTACCTCCTTGTTTTTTCTCACTCTCTTCTAATGTCTTGTTAAAAGATTAAATCAAGAATCAGATTGGTTACTAGCGAAAAGAAGTCGGTTGCAAATTTTATTTTCTTCAACCCCATCTATTGTCAACTTTCTTTTTAAAATTTCAAATTTCAATATCAAAACGCGTGAATGAAGAATTGATCGAAAAAAAATGGCCTGATGAAAAAAGCGTGAAACGGCCCGTAAAAAAAATCTCCGGCTAAATAATCAAGTCCTAATGATGGAACTACATAGCCACCAAAGAAATGGTAGAAATGTCTCGAGATGATGAGAAGCCGATGCTATTCTTATCAGCAGTGGAGCTTATCATGTGTTTACAAACTCTCAACACCGCAAAAAACAAGATCGAAAACCATGAAAGTAGGCGGCTCGGTAACTCGAGCATCAAAAGTACTAATAAACCCAGTGTCCAGAGTAGTTACCCACCAATGGTTGATAGAGTTGAGAATTCACGTGACTCATGATTGGTTGAGATGGGAGAAGGGGGCGTGAACGACGCGCGTCGTCGAGACCACGCCTAAATGTACGTCAGGCGCGTGTGCCTCCACCAGTTTTCATTCTGTCTGAGTCACTCCGATGCAGCACTTGTTATATCTATCTCATTCGTACAAAACCACACAAACATACCTGCGCCTTTCTCCCCCACCTCCAAATGGAATCCGCACCGTGGAGAGAGACTCCACCAAGATACAGTCCCGTTGAGTAGTCAACTGCACGTATCTCTCCCAGTCGGATGCTCTTGACAGTGTTCATTGTTTATTGTCTATTTTTTTTTTTGGTACCAAAATATCAGTGCAACCGTGCTCGGACACTTGTCATCCGCTGGTGATTGTGCGTGTTAGTGATTCTGTTTTTTTTTTTAACAATTCTCAGTGTCTTCAGGGTCAACCGGACCCTGAAGAGCACCAGTGCACTGTCAACAATGTGCCAGAACTGTACAATCAGTGATTACGTTTGAATTATTAAATTGATTCGCTTGATCTTTGAGAGTGATAACTCAGAGTTGATGGTACAGCAGTGAGTGATTGTTGAAGTTAGGTTTTTGTGGAGGAAGAGGAATGCTGCCTTATCAGGTGGCCATGGACTACGGGGGCTTTCAGCGGCAAAGTCCTGTTGGGGTTGGTGTTCCTGGGGTTGGGGTTGGTGCTGGGCATCAGGGCCCATCTGGTCCCCTCAACATCAACCCCGCTTTCACCCACTCCTGGTTCGTACCGGCGGACCTCTGTGTCCCGTACAAACAGAATCAGGGTTCTCTCCTCGAGCCAGGGCATGTTGTTTCTCTTATACTTTTTCATTAAATTTTAATGCAATATATACGTTTTAATATTAACTGAACAATTATTTTTCGTTTCTCCAATGGTACCCAAAATGCATGCATTTTTTTTATAGTTTTTTTTTTATTTTTTCCAACGTTTCGACGAATAGGATTTTGTTGCTTTCGTATTCAGGATTCAAATGTAAAAAACAATGAAGAAATATAAATTTATTATTAGTAGGCAACAATTAGAGATGTAGAGAAATATCTTCGCAAGTATATTTGAATTCTGGAGGATATATTTTGAGTAGTATATATGATATATAATTTATTATTAAAAAATAAGGGCACCTTTTTAAACAACATGAAATACTAAACAATATGGGGCCCAATCGGTTGTATTAAACATGCATTATTTCCAGAGACCCAAAAATTTAACAAAAATCATTTTTTTGTTTAAAATGTAAACGAAAAATTGATAAACATTCTTTTGTTTATTCTACGCCACTACTGGAGTATTCATTTTTTTTCAATTGAAGAATTTATCAATTTTTTAAAATTACTCGCAATCATAGTCGCCGCATTAAAATCCATCGCAGGTTTCGTTCAATTGCTGCCTTCTGAATTAACGTGATACTGAAATAATTGAATCAACTCTGCCCTCTGGATTTTTCCTTCCAAAGGAATTTTGTCCACTCAAACCAGCTATCAATAAAACCAGAACAATTACAATCCATTCAAAATCAAAAAGACTGAAATAAATTATCAGCTTTAAATAAATAATGCTCATCAAAGCTGCCTCATGCCCCCAACCATCGATTTCAATGATGGACTCATTTTTTCTATTTAGTCCATCATACTTTCACTGCCGACATTTAATCCGCTAATCCCCCAAAAATCATTGATTCGTTAGAAATAATAAGATTATTGGACCCATAATGTATGCTCATTGTGGGAGACTTTAATGCTATTCAGAGTTGCCAGCGACGCACGTGCGTTCTTTCTGTCGAAATTCGGTCGGACTACTCATGCTCCTAAAATGCAAAAAAAAAATAAAATAAACCTAAAAAGAAGGAAAAGACGACAAACTGAGTAATAAAACCGTAAAAAATGGTGATTGCAACTCACAATCAAGTATATAATACTCTCTTGCGTCATAATAAAGTGTCGAATGGGTTTACCAGAAGCTTGAAAAACCACTGGATAAATCACTCGTCGTGATCTTTTGTCATAATACACAGGTGGTAAAAACAGGCAAGACGTGGCCCAATACTGTTTAAAATATAAAGCACTGCTAGATGCCACTAAAATGATAACACTTGGTTCCATAATGTTAACCCGTTGGAGAGAACACACGAAACATAATAACAGAAATAGGGCTGAGGGGAGATATAATGTTTAGGAAAGAACAGGTCGTGTGGCGGCTCGTGCGCTCTTCTCCTTTTTTTTCTCCCTTTTTTCTAGGAATGGACCGAAAATGTGAATGAGCTTTTGGACTCTTTGACCTGAAATTTTTATCATCTTGTTGGCATCAGAGATGTTGTGAATCGTTACTACTTCAACTCTTTGAACATTTTCTGATATGAAATTTCCTTTTTCAAGATTGAGACGTACATCTAGAACGAACACTTGATTGAGATTGGAATCATTTTATTTATTTTTATTTTTAGTTTTTTATATTCCGGCCCTTTCTGTCCTGTTCTGGCTAATTGGCCCTATCTCACCCTATGCATGCGGCTGTGTATAGAACATAGGAGTGACATGGGAAACCACAGAAAAAACCATGTCGGTACAGGCGATTTCTCTATTAGCAACCTCCCACTCATCAGTGCATTCTGAAAAATTCGATTCAAGGGAGAATCGAACTCACTACAATTTTTGGATAGTTATCAAATTAATTATAAAATAGTTTCAGAGGCGTATTAAATCCTTCCAATGAAATAGATAGGCATTGGTTTTATAATTTTGAATTTAGAAAATTGTTTTAAAAACTTTTTCTGTCTGTTTTTTTCAGAGATATTTTTAATTTTTTTTAAATATTTAATTTATTCATAGCAAACAATAAAATGGAGAGAATGGAATATACTAGATGTAACTAAAAAATTCATTTTATGAAAGTCGAAACACAAAAATGAAGTTCGCCCGAGTCGAAATATCTCGAAATGCGTACGACGTATTCCTCATTAGTCAACTTGAACCGCCAAATTCAAATTCGGCGCACGGAGTGCGCAGTAGGTCTCGTATTCTGTAAACCCCGAATTAATAAGAACATTCACTTGCCGTCAGATGTTTTCCTCCGGGGATGGTTTCCACGCTTGTTGTAGGCGTATCTATTTTTCCGAAAGCCGTTATCCTTCTAATTCACAAAAACAAATTCATTTAAAAAACCATCACAGCAAGTAGTAATCATATGACAATCATGGCAGTGACAATTCAGGTTTTTCAACGAGAAAATCTGAATAAAAAACACATAACATTGCGATTAAATTCCGCGAAAAAAATAATTTGTACTCAGCATTATGCAATTATCGCCCAACTTCTAGTAAAACCATTAATTTATCTAAATATTTCATAATTAATAATTACAATTTAATAATCTGAATTTAATTTATATTAACTAAATTTCGATTTCCAAAACTGCCCCGCGCAAATCGCCTAATTCGCAAATTTGGCATTGCCCCAGTTGATAAAAAAAATTGTCTACAACATTGAAAAAAAGAAAAAGTGCTGGAGCCAGCAGTTGCTCAGGCGAATGTACAAATTGGATGCGTATCCATGAGGGTACAGTTGTAGATGTCCCCGACAATAACCCAGAAGATGGGTATATGGCGGTCGTACATAAGGGGGGGGGTTGATGAGTGTAAAAGAGAAAAAGCGATGAGAGTGGTAGTGTGAGAGAATAAGAAGGTGTTGACGGCTCCCCGGGTTGCTCCGTCAGCGTCAGCGATCCTCTGATCGCATCGGGTTTACTGCCGTGGCGTGACGTACTCATCGTTCGAGTCCAAGTCCCAGTCCAAGTCCCAGTTCCACTGCCATTGCCCTTACACCAGCCCATCAGCATCTCCCCATTATCTCCTCGCCGTGACAGAGCTCCCTTGGGAGATCATGACAAGTAGGCTACCACCACCTAAAACTTCTACTCAACCACAACTTGTACTTTTCATTTATCTCCAACGCCCGGTGGCCTGGTGTAGTGGTTAAGGTCGTCGACTCACAACGGATAGGTTCCAGGTTCGATTCCTGGCCGGGTAGAATCGTGAGATCTAACCAGCTTTAAAAACTCCTCTCTTCAAATTGTCAAAACATATTCTGGTTTTGAAAAATTTAATTACGTCGAAAAAATAATTAAAACCATTTGGCATTAGATATGATAATAATGGAAACATCCATCAAAGGGCCGACAAATGATATGATGTACGTCAAGGTATATGCAATAGAAGGAAGCGAATTTCCCCGAAAATTCTCAGGCCACAACTCGCGGCTATCACACACATCGGAAAGCTCATCACGTAGACTTTGAGCCTCGCTTTGAGCCCTCCCTTATCTGCCCGTCATCGTGAGCTGTCTCGTGGCCTCTCTCTCTCTCTCCCTCTCATTTTCCCTCTTTTTCTCTCTTTTATTTTTCATATGTGGCGCAGTTTTACTTATATACGTAGAGCGAGTCATGATTTACGTTGTCCGTCAGTGAGACATCACTCGAAAAAAAAGTTCTTCAAGATATTCAAGGGGTGTATGACCAACGACTTCCGTTCAGAGTTATTGTTGATGAGATCAAGACGTGGACTTTGACCACTGGGGGGTCTTCATAAACCTTGAACACATGAACTCGCGGAAACAAAAAAAAACTGAATCAACAGAGAAATGTGGAATTATCTGTACAGAATGCAGACATTCAAATATTCTGATACTTCCATATTTTCTCGAAGGCTATTCTCGGTGATAGGTATTACAAAGGTATGAATTCTTACACAAAAAAATATTACCCTCTACAATGCATTCAACCGCCGAAATTTTCCAAAATTAATCAAATGTACTGAAATGTTAAAAAACTGAAGTCTCTAAAAAAATTCTTCCAAGTTAACGTTTTAAATAATTTTCTATGTGACAAACACCAATGAAATCAATCTCAATCAATAAATGCACGGCCATTTTTTTTCCATTGAAAATAATTCAACTTGATTTCGTCCACTTTTTCAAAAACTTCAGTCTGTAGATTGATGTTAACATGCCAATTTCAAGGATAACCTATATAGTTGATTGGAGTCCTTATTATGAAAATAGAGACACAAAAATGAAGTTCGCCCGAGTCGAAATATCTCGAAACCCAAACCGCCAAATTCAAATTCGGCGCACGGCGTGCGCAGCAGACCTCATATATATTAAAATGGTGTAGATATATTTGTGAAAAAAAAAATGTGGATGAAAAGCGGAAATAAGATTCTTTTGTTGAGTTAAAGGAGTGCAAGGTTTTATTTTTATTTGTCAATTCTATACCTGCACTTGGAATAGTTTCGAAGGAGAAGAAAAAAGCTTACCAAGGGGAAAAATTATGTGGAAACCGGAGCCGTAACATTAGGAGGATTGTATTGTAGCGAGAAGAGTATGAGTCCCTTGGGAGGGGTGTTAGGTGTGAGTAGAAGCCCAACACCCGAGGAAAGCCCTCCACCACAAAGTCCAGGACACATTTGGTCAGTGTACATTGGCAACCATAACCCATAAGCACATATACAGTTGTCGTCCTCGAGGGTAAAAAGGGATGTGCCCTCAGGTGGTATGAGTGTGTGGTTTTCTCTCAACCGTCTACTCAATCGTTTAATTGAATTAGAGTCGCACCGTACCTTGCATTATAATTTTCTCAGAATTTCAGTTCGTACTGGTCTGCACATCTCTCCGTATATACTTTTATCTCCTAGTTTTCAAACATTAATATGAATACGGAAAATTGAAAGCACGACTGCTGACAAACTAACCTAATTTCACTCATTTCTTTAACAATAAAAAATTATTTTCGCTTTTTTCCAGATTGAATAATTATTCGAAAAACCATAACAATGTGTATGAGAGAACAAATTACTCATTATCAACACCGAATCATTGAATTTCCTTAGAATAATTGCGATTTTATTTATAGAATACCTATAAAAATAAATTCCCATAATCAAATTTTTTTTTCTCACGGGTTAACCTAGGGTTTTATATATTCTTTTTATTTTAGTTTTCAACATCCGACAACTTGAAAAAACATGACTATAAGAATATGAAAATTAGGAGATATTCATCAAATTTTTTCCACCGAAAATATCTTTGATAAACTCTTCATTGACAGTTATCCACAAGTGCAATGGGAACGAACCGTGAACTCGAGTTTCTTCGGTATGTGCGATAATCTCGTCATAGTCCTACTGAATTATTGATGGCCAGCACTTTGGTCCGAGCCCTTCGTTCCTTTCTCCTTTCTCCTTTCTCTTTTTTCTTTTTTCTTTTTTTTTTGCAATACCACCACCCCACTCAATCCAACCCCATTGCCCTTCACACCACTTACCATGTATTTTCATTGCACACAGAGAGAGAGAGAGAGAAAGAGAAAGAGTGAGAGAGAGAGGGTGTACCTGCTGGGTGTTGCCTTTTTCTGGGACCCCCATGGGAGTGAAAGAGCCCCCAGTTTATGCTCCTCGGCCTTTCGCCCAATTTCAACCAATTTCACCCGAAAGTTCGGCTTAATTTCATTTTCACGCGTCTGCCGATTGCTCGGCTATGTTGAAGAGAGGTTTTTTCTCCATCTAGCTCCTGACGAGGGATCATTCCTTGACGGACCTTTCTTTTTATCTTTACCAACATCCAACTTCTTCACATACCTCTATCGGTGTCACCCACAATTTCAATCAATTTCACATTTCTCTTTATGGGGTATTCCACAGAAATAGTGATATCTATGTCAGTACTGTCGCCATTGAGATTGAGCAAGCCTCAGCCCAATGATTACGGACACATTGGTAGAATCTCGTAGGAAGGTATTAATGTATCGACGCCAGTAGCTCAGTGGCTAGGTGCGAGCCTAGTGTTCTGAAAGTTCTGAGTTCGATTCCCCGTTGAATCGAATTTTTCAAAATGCACCGATGAGTGGGAGGTTGCTAATAGAGAAATCGTCTGTACCGGCATGGTTTTTCCTGTGGTTTCCCATGTCACTCCTATGTTCTATAGGAGAATGAATACGACACAGTGGAGGATCCACAGCCGCATGTCTACGACGAGATAGGGCCAATTAGCCAGAACAGGGCAGAAAGGGCCGGAATATTATAAAAAATAAAAGAGATTGATGTATGATATGGTGGAGCAAATATTGAATAAATTCAGCCTTTAACACAGTGCACTGATGTTAATACTTTTGAATATCGCAGCACCGACTGGTAAATCACATATTCAGAAAAGCTTTGCCTCTCCAAGAATTTTCAAGGAATTATCTAGTCATTCAGCACTGACTTGCTCCCTGAGTAGCAGGTATTATCTTGAGATGATGATGAAAAGAGTTATTTCGTGATAATTACTATTTTGATCTTAAATTTTTTCAAGCTTTCATTCAACAATCAATTATTATTAAAAATTTCAACATAAATGAGAAACTTGGTGTCCATTTTTCCATGAAATTGACTTCAAACTCATATAATTGAAAATTCAGATGAACAAATATTCGATTATTTTTGCCACAATATTCTTCAAAATGAGTGAAGAAAAATTTATCCAATGGAATTACATCGATCATTGCATTTCACCCACGAATACTTTTTATTGCCCTCAGATTCCGCGTAACATCTAAAAAACCAACCCCTGTTCTGCCCCATGGGAGGCATTTCAATCTGAAACCCAAAGCGATTTCGCTATTCACAACCCCAAACACCCCCAACCCGCCACTCTCTTGTCTTATCTCTCTTCACAACCCACCAATTGTGCAATATTCATTTGTCGGCATTAAAGTTTTTCCGCGATTATTATTTCCTCTTTTTTCCAGTCAATCTAGCCGCATTCCGGAATTAGTGAATAATCATCAAAGGATTTGAATTCTCCCTCTGGGGTTTCAGTAAAACTTCTGGTTTCAGTAAAACTCATGGCAATTCTGTGATTAGACCTTGGGGACTCGCGAATACTCGAAGCATTCAAACGATCAAACGGAAAAGGTGAAGAAGGAGACAACGAAAATGAATTCAGTGGGTTTTTGATATTACTGAAGTGACTTGGTTAAAACTCTTTACGAAGCAAGACATTCTGAAAAACACCCCAGAATGTACAACCCTTGGTGAGAATAGACATTTCCCCTTTGAAGAAAACGGAAGAGTCGTTTCACAGTCATTGAGCGTAACTGCTGGATAATAAAAAGCCATCTTGCTTTTTAACCCTCTCTGAATTAAATGTACCATTTAATAGTATCATCTCACGTGAAGCACCTTCTGATTGTCTATCAGACATATCCCAAGGTGCATCTCAATCGCCAATTGCCTCCCCCTCATAGCCAAAAAATTCCAATACGTATTTCCAACACGAAGACGAAATTCTAAAAGGAATTGACCGAATCAATTCACCCAGTAGTTACATTTTTTTTTTCTTAGAAAAACGAATTTTTTTGTATGAATGATGTGGTCATCAACAACCAAAAGGTCATACGGAGAGAAAAGTACTGGAAAAAATACGTAAAAAGTTCCGTAAAAATTCATGTGTGAAAGGTAAACGTGGGGCGAAATGTAAAATCGGAAAAAGTGCCGATCATACAGAACATTTTATTACTCGGTCGGTAAAAAGTCACCTTTATAGAGGTAGAAAAATTACGGTACTCAGTTCCGTAAATTTTGCCGGGACTGGAAAGTACGATTGTAAATCGTAATTATAAAGATCGAAGAATTTATAAACTCATATTTCGTCAGAAAATACTTTATTCCCTAGAGGCACAATATGCTAATTATCCTTCCGACAATAATAATTTGCCGGGTGGCGTGATCCGAATTTAGACAATGATTCGCGATCGGGTATGACCAACAGTCGTACCACCAACGCTGTCTAGGAATCTTTCAATTCGATCACGTAAAATTTTAATTGACTGGAACTATGGTAAATTTTACAAGTTCGTAAGAAATTAATCACTTCGATTTTCCAGAGCAAATAATATAATTAATTGTTCGTCTCTCATTTTTTCCCAAATTCTCCAGTAAAAAATAAGGAAATGACACTCAAGCCCACGATTACGTGATTAGTCACGTAATTTTTCGTTTTTTTCTCCGTGCAGTAAACAAAAAAAAATGAATCCGGTAGCAGGCAGTTGGTAAAATGGTGATGATCAATTAAGAGACCCGCAGCGGTGGCAATATGCGGGCAGTATTCTCTGATTGGTTGAAGTCACATGGACGTGTACATGTGGATGTTATCGGTAGCGTAGAAACAAGCGTTTTCGGAAGGGGTTGCAACCGGTACACGAGGGCGGAGTCCTGGACTAGCTTGCATTTACCTACGAGTAAACATTGGGCTTGATAACACCGACTGAATAATGTATGCCATTAAAGCGTTTGTGGCACAACTCCTGGGCTCTAACCAGCCACGCCTACTTGTGCCTCTTGTGGGGGCTTTTGCCATCCACTTTGTGGCTTCATCCTCTCTCACTCTCTCTTATCATCACAATTGCCAAAATCTCATTTGCACAATACGCCAATCATGCTTTTGTTCCCTGCACCGTAGTCTAAACTAATCATCAACGAAACTTGATGAATCTCATTCGCACAATTCAATTAGGATTGTTCCAGTGGATCTAGCTGATTTTAGTATAGAATATTCCCCCGACATTCAAAACATTTTTTTTTTTTTCAATTCGTGGGAGAGAATCATAATCAATTTCTAACTCTACTAATTGGGAAGCTTCAAATTAATTTTATGAACGTCAGTACCAGATTTTTGGGATTAATAAATTATTTTTTGGGTTAAACGAAAAATAGTTATGATATTGTGAGAGTAGGGATTCAATTTCACAACCGATATGAGATTTATAATGATAATCTATTGATAATTGATGTGAACAATAGTAATTCGACGAGAAAAATATCTGAAAAACTTTTTTATGAAATAAAAAAAAATCGGAGAAAAAAATTTTATTTTTGGGAAAGGTTTAGAAAAATTTTTCAAAAATTTCATAAATATAATTTTAGAAAAATTTTCAAAACATTTCCCAAAAATACCATTGTTTTGTTTCCGGATTTTGTTTTGTTTCAAAAAAAAAAAATTCTGAAAAGTCTTCCAGAACCTTTTTGAAAATTTGAAAAAAATATTCCGATTACAATTTTTTTTACCGAGGAGCTTATGATGTTCAACTACTTCGGTGGTGATTTTGAAGATCTCAATGAGATCTTCAAATTGATATAACAGAGTAATATTAATCGAGTCTAAACGTTCGAAAATGAAAAAAGTTGCTGACACCACGTCGTCTAATTTACGATTTTCTTTTCTCATTATAGTTTGTTGGAAATGCGGAAGGAGAAGAGCAGAGATGCTGCAAGATCACGTCGTGGAAAGGAGAATTTTGAATTTTATGAGCTCGCTAAGATGCTACCATTACCCGCCGCCATCACGTCGCAATTGGATAAGGCATCGATCATAAGGCTGACTATTTCATATCTCAAATTGCGAGATTTCTCGGGGCATGGAGATCCGCCATGGAACAGAGACACACCTCCACCTAACAAAATAGTTAAAGGTGAGAATTCCACGCATTTGTAATAGAATAATTATTCCAACCCCTAAATGCGCTGGATTTATTTATTTATTTATTTTGTCATTGCAAGTAGGAATTAAATTGATAAATGCCTCTTGGATATCTCCAATTTTTTTATTTATTTGTTTTAATTGTCTCCGGGAAAAATAGTTTTTCTAGAAATAACTCGGAGTTATTCCAGGATTTTTATATTAAATGATACGCCGTACATGGATAAATAAATTTTTAGTGAAATGTGAAAAAAGTATTGGACTTGGACACGGGTAAAAAAAAATTGTAATCGAAATATTTTTTCAAAATTTTCCAAAAATTTCTGGAAAACTTTTCAGAATTTTTTTTTTGAAACAAAAGAAAAATGGGAAAACAAAACAATTGTATTTTTGGGAAATGTTTTGATAAATTTTTCAAAAATTTATTTCGGAAATTTTTTTTTATAATTTTCTAGAAATTTTTGCGAATTTAATTTTTTCTTTTAATTTCACTGTTGTTTTCTTACTTTTTTTATTTTTCATTATTGTCAAAAAATATTTTACTATTCAAATTTTTGAACAATTTTTCCAAACCTTCCCCAAAAATAAAATTGTTTTTGTTTCATAAAAAAAAATGGAAAATGGAAAATTTGGAAAAAATATTCCGATTACAATTTTTTTCCCCGGATAGCTAGCCCATTCCATATATTTAACGTGCCCCTAAACCCGCAGTTTATTTGGATATTAAACCACTGCTCAAAACCATGAAATTGAATATAATGTGATATAAATTCCTGCAGTGACCATTAGTTTTTAAAGACACTCCACTTTTGTGGCGGAGTAAACACTTCATCAGAGTGAATTCACAGGAAGCATAAAATTTTCATGATAACGCCTTCAGTAGTAGAAAAATAAAATAGCAGACTAGATTTAGCTTTGTCAATAGAAGAGTAAGATTGAATTTTGTTCTCTGCTACTGGAAACATAAATTTTCAAACGTTGAATAATCGAGTTATCCCGAGTGAGTACAGGCTGAGAGTAAGGTTGAAGTAAGAGAAGAACGTGTACGTTTTATATGTCGATTTTGCTCAGTGCACGTACGCTTTGCTCTAGGCTCTAACGAAATTACAAGGACCGAGGAAATGTTCAGCTGGGGGTTAGAGTGGACCAGAGTGGCAGGTACAATGATGAAATGGAGGTGAAGGGAAAAATGAGATTGTCTTTACGTCAATCAAAACACTGCCACAATTCTATTATCATGATTTTTTCAGCAGTCCTCTCTCTGTCCTCTCCAATCCCTGGATTATTTTTCTCTCTATAAATGGAATCTGTCTTGTTGCCTGACTCCTGCAGTCATTATGCTCCATTGATCAATATCAAATCCATAGGACAATTTCATCTGCTGATGATTTTCCTCTGATGGATTCGTTCAAGAGGTTTAATCGCTAGAAAAAAAGCCACTCCCCAGTTACCAGTTACTGTACTTTATTCGGTTTATGCATTCCAACTTCACCCCTGGACTCTGAAATGAGGGTTTGTTGGAGACACGTGTCACCTATCGCCTGAGAGAATCGTCTGACTTCTGACATACTCGTAATTTAATCAACTTCAGAGCTAGAATATTCTCGTCAATTTGATGGCCATCAAAACCAGTAGATTATTGCACAACCGAAAAATATTTAGCACAATCAACTATATTTTATCATTAAATATATCAGATTATGCTTAGAATTTTATATTAATTGATTACGCCTTCTAATTAACGGAAATAAGAATAATTTTTGAGTCGGAGTGTTGCTCATGGATTCATTCTCGATAAGTTTGTCCAAGTTTTTCCTTGCAGGTTTGCGTAGTTATTATATTCCTTTCAATGAAGTGTTAATCAAAACTAGCGTATACGGCGCGCTATGCGCGCCCAAGCTTACATGTATGGGGTATTATCATATAAAATCTTCATATAAAATCTGAATATTAAAAGAATCTTAAGTATCTAAGAAAATTAGTCATAATTTAAGTTTTTTTCAATTTTCAATTTTCAATATATAAACAAATTACATATAAATTTTTAATTAAAATATATAATATTTTATATATATTAATTATTTATATGAATATATTAATATGATATGCATAGCTTGGCTATGCGCCAAAAAAAGCTGACAAAAAACGTTACATGCTTTTTTTTAAAAGGGATATCTGAGAGGAAGGGCCTTGAAATCTAAAATCAGATTTTTTATATCACTCCGTACGTTTATTTATTTATTTTTTTGACAATTGTTGATTAATACATTTTGGAAAAACTGGCAAAACGCCACGATCGATATAAGAAAAACCTTTTTTGGATAATATCAAATTTTTAAGAAATACAATTCATAAACAAATAAATTGAATACCAACTTTTTCAATGTTTAATCTTTTTTAAAAATGCTTTAACGACAAGAAGAATTGATAAACGTTTTTCAACGTAACAATCAAGAGTAAAAATAAAATGAATTGTTGGAATTAATTTAAAATGAGTTTGAGCCGTTCTATCCGATCAAATTCTTTATCAACTTTAAAAGCCAAGATTGAGCAGCATGAGTTAGCTCGACCAACAGTAGGAAAATACGAAATAAAAAAGCGTCTGGTATCGAAATGGAAAGGGCGGAAGATCGGGGAGTATTTGAGTCGAAATGTGAGGGTCCAAACTGAAGGAAGAAAAGCGTAAACACCATAGTCCACTCTACGATTGTGAATCGCGATACTTTTATGACTCGCCTGACCAAGAAAGATCTCACCAGATACATAGTAATAGAGAATTCTCTCGGGCCAATAATCGAACGAGATAACATCGAATAGCTTTTTCTTATTCGCATTATTTCCACCTCAATAATTCAATTTTAAACAAAAACGAAAATCCTCCGGATAAATTCAGGATCCCTCTGCGGTTAGATTATTTGTGAGACTAAATTTATGATAATTTTCTCTTTCCTCAGGATAAAATCAAAGGCAGAGTTAATATTTGCACAGGATTGCGCCAAGCCAAGGGTTCAAGTTCATTCTGCTTCTCCTTTTTCACTCATGTCGTGGTGAGGTGCACCAATATATATGCGTACCACATGTAAATCTAATCATCCTCCCCTGTACACAACTCTCCGCATTACGAGACCGACGATGTAACTAAACTAACGGAATTGAGTTAAAGCTCCTAACGCAACCCCTAAAAACCCCCAACCCCCTTCAAATTCACTTCCAGTTTTTCTTTTTTTTTTTTATCAGTTACGCCTGTCTCTGACTGATTTTCTTCTGCTTTTTCGCCAGTCGGAATAATCACAACGGAGAATTCAAGGTAATCGAGACAAAAAGGGAAAAGATGAAAAGGAAACGAGTGGTGGAGATTTTAACCCAGCGCTTAACGTACTTTGGGGCTGATTAACAGCTGGGGGAGACCCCTCAGAGGTTCTCCAGTTTTTGCTATCTGCACTCGGATAAATGTCTGGGATAAAAGAAAAATTACTGGACCGGGCACTACAATTGGCCTTCACAAATCAAAATTCCTATTAATATCGTAAATACCCTAATAAAAAAAAATGGTAATCGAAATATTTTTTCCGAATTTTCAAAAAATTTCGGGAAAACTTTTCAGAATTTTTTTTTATCCAAAAAAATGGAAAAATAAAACAATTTTATTGTTGGGAAAGGTTTTGAAAAACTTTTGAAAAATTTAAATAAGAAATTTTTTTTATCATATTCGTAAAAATTACGAGAAAATTATTTTAAAAAATTGTTTTGTTTTCCGATTTTTTTTTAAAGAAAAATTTTCCAAAAATTTTCCAAAAATGTTTTGAAAATTTTGAAAAAATATTCCGAAAAAAATTCTTTTCTTTTCCGGGTATTCTAGTGCATTCCATATTTAATCCTATGTGCCTCCATAAATTATTTGAAGGTCTACCATTTTTTATTTGAAGGAAAAAATTACAGAAGTCCTCTTTTTTAATTTTTACAATTAAAATTCATAGATTTTTCTCTTCGTGTGCCAACTGAAATAAGAAAAAATTTGTTTATCGAAAATTCGATAGCCTACATTTCTTTCGTCCAACTTGATTTGCGAAGAAAATTGAAATGGTAATGCCCACCCCATGCAATTTTCATGTGGAGAACCTCTGCCACCCTAAGAGAACCAACCGCAAAATCTCACTAATGAAATACTGGGGATTAACTAAACACACCTGACTAATTAAGTAGCGCTTAAACGGATCAACGTCACCAATACCCCAATCAACGTCTCGTTAGCATTTGCCTATTTGCATCGGGTAAATATAATGTCTCCCCACCGTAGAACGCGTCGTCATCCCATGGGGCCAAAATAAGAGAGATTATTTCAATAATTAACTAGAATTTATACCACCGAAAAATATTCCGTGGCATATTCCCACAATATTTTGATATTATGATTCGTTCGGTTTTCCGAAATGGTATCGAGGCTAGAATCAGGACGACAAATTTCACCGGTGGAATTTAAATTTTTCCTTATTTTCACCCTCTTACGTTGCGACGTCTCGAAACTTGTGATTTTCGTCACGCGGCTTGAAAATCACATGAAAAATTCCCAAAAATAGAGGGGGCAAAATGCGAGAGTGGAGACAGGCCATATGCCATTGGGAAATGGTGTGGCTGAACGTCAGGTTGACGGCGAAAAAGAGGGATATATACAAGAGACGATGCAAATGGGCTCTGAAGAAAGAGAGGGTTGTCCCGAGTGCCCATTTGATGGCCCATCAATGTAAACCAGTGTAAAATCCAAGGGGTGAGAGCGATCGCACCCCGACCCACCCTACATTCACATCATCTATATGTGTGGCTTTATCCTTGCCTCAAAGTACTCCAAATATTTAACTCTAATGCACTCGACTTTCCACGAAGATAAATATTCAGCAACAATTGCATCATGATTGTTGAGGAACGGAATTTAGGAGGTCGGGCGTCGGAAAATGAGAAGGATGGGTCGTGAATAAAGTTGATGTCAATGGCGAAATTATAAAACACTTTGCGTTTAATAGTCACTTGTCGAAAATATACAGATATTTCCACGTTATTGTTGATTGAATGAACCGTTGCCACCTAACTCGACAACCCGGAAACGTGCGAAAATTATGGAGGATAATTCGTTGATATTTGCATAATTATTGAGGCTCTACTTTAAGCACATCATTTGGTAAATGTCTAGTTCAGCTCCACCATGCCATTCTGGATGTTTTTTATTTGATTGGATGGGTTTTCATCACCTAATTCAGGAGCTTTTTTATCCAGAAACAATTAGTATGGGAGATACGACATTTAATGCACCGCTCTCTGCGTTATCCGGGGCCACGGCGAGGACGTGGCGGTGTGTCGACCCCAAAGACACTACATGTTGGCACATTTATAGATAATGGACACACAGAAAGATGGATTTCATCAAATATTCTTGAGCACTTGACTAAAACTCTGAAATCACCTGAACCGACCATCTACCATCGCTGACCGAACACAACGAGTGATCTATCCGCCGCTACCCTTCTGTAGCCATTCAAATTATTGAATTTAATATCACTCACTCGTCGTGTCAACAGCAACAGCAGGGGGAAGGAGGGTTTAAGGAATTTCAGGGACAACAGAATTTACCTCAGGATTATTTTTCGATGTATTTACCTCCTTGTTGTTTCTCACTCTCTTCTTTCATCTTGTTAATGGGAGTTGAGAAGATAAGAATGGATTTTTCGTCAGAGAAATTAATATTTCAATGATTATTGTTTTTGGTGGACCTAAACCATACATTTACCAAGATTAGAGTACGTGGAGGTACAATGAGAGATGATCTGACGTTATCAGTAATTCACATGAAAACATGTGTATTTGTCTGGCATTCTGTGAAGTTCTGCTTTACACTTACCCTCTTCTACAATTCCCATTTCAGCCAACATTTCCTGTAAATCTTCCCTCAGCTTTTCCAACCCCTCCCACCAGGGTTATCACAATATTTTGATAAATACATGAAGGTGGTGTTTTATGTGCTCTCCTCACGGCTATAACTCACCGGTTATTTATTTTGGTTTTTACTTCCAGAGGAAGGAAAAATACAAGTGTCGGTCGGATAATATCTACTAAAAATCAACTCCTATTATCTTCAACCATCAACAATTATTCACACCTCTTAAAATATATATCATCTATATGCATATGGGGCATTCCATTTCAACTCGTGAGGTTTCAATCCTGAAGATTTTTCATTTGTTTACAAATTCTTCTATCCATTCACCACGTGAATATAATGAGTTAGAGAAAAGAACTGTTTTGCGAGTGTTGGTCTGAGGGGAACACTGAAGAAGTATCTCGTAAAACAAAAAGACCACCCCAACACCTTCACCAGAAGCAGTTGGCAAGAGACACAACAAATTCGGCAATTTTTCATTAAATCCGTGTCCCGAGAGTACCGAGATCAGTCCTGGCCTGGGAAGTGATATCGTCCCGTATTCCTCTCATATGTTGCATTTTCTCGCACCAAACCACCCTCGTCGATTCTCACTCTCTCTCACACCCTTACCACTTGTATTGTCGGGGAAACTCGGTGCAGATGGAGCCATGGGGGGTGCTGCGACATAGTGACGTCACCCAGCCGGTGCCACTTCCACGATTTATTACTTCTACGGCTACAGAAAACTAAATTTTTCTATTAATATATATATCTCGCACGATATATTGACGATACGATCTTCTATATATTCTTTTCATTTTTCCAAGTTATATAACCGTTGTTTATTCGCTTTCAATCATCAATCACCACTTTTTCTTTCCATTTTATCAATTTTATCAATTATATATTATATATTAGATATATATTATAAATATATCAGAATAATATCAGGATATATTTTGGGCCTAAAATATATCCTGACATTATTCAGATATATCTCGGATTTATAATTTTCCGTAATATATAATATATTAATATATTATATATTAGATATATATTATAGATATATCAGAATAATATCTGGATATATTTTGGGGCTAAAATATATCCTGACATTATTCAGATATATCTCGTATTTATAATTTTCCGTAATATATAATATATTAATCTATTATATATTATATATCTTATTTATATTTCAAAGATTTACATTAGATGAGCGTTAGAGCATTTTTAGCCAAAAAAATATCGAAATTATTCATATATCGGTTTTTAAGAATAAAAATTGGGAAGTTCAATTGAATTGGGGCATTCCATTGGGAATGAAAAAAGTAAAAGAATTGAATAATTTGTTCTCATAGGAGACATAATAGTGTATTCCCCTGCGGCAGTGGGATAAATAGTCGACAAAACTATCTCAATAAAAACCATTTAGCCCCCGCTGATTAATTCAAGAACGCGAAAAACTTGACACGAATGAATTATGATCGACGATAAAATAAGAAGGACAATCGACACACGGTCAGTGTGACCGCCCTACTTACCCCTCCCCTCCCATCCATTACCATGAATATTGAAAGGGCCCCTCAATGATAAATAATCATTAATCCTGAAGGATAATCGTCAGGGAATATAGACGTAATATCTGTAATGTCTGTAAAATAGGAGATGATCGGACGGTGCAATAGATACATAGATATAGAAAGTTGGGAAAGGTGATTGTAGGGACTAGGGGTGGAAGTGAAAGCCCGGGGGCCCCACGGGGCTTTTTCAAGGCGTAAAATGACCCAACTACTAATAATATCTGTATGAAATGGAAGGGGGTGCAGACTTATATACGCCCTTTGGAAAAATAATACTCAGCACCAAGCAGCAATATTTCCGTCGGTTATACGTATCTACGTTTAGGCCAGAGTGAAACGTTATATCGGTCCCTGTCCCACTGGGACACCTTTCTCACAACTCCACGGATCCAATACTCCTCTTTCTCTTCTTTCTTTCATTTATTTTCTCTCTCCCTCTTTTTTTTCCTTATATTTTTCTCAGTACGAAGATTAATCGTCCTGGATCATAACTAGCGTTATGCGAGGCACGTACACCACCGAGTCTGTTTTATTTATTTTGAGTATTTATGTGAGGAAAGATTGCGAGAAACCTCTCCAATCTTGTCTTGCAAAATACAATTGTTTTGGTAATTAAAAGATGAATTAAACATTATTTTACAAATTCAGTAATCAACAATTAATATTCAAATGACTATATTGTTCTTAATTTAATTAAAAAAACTCCACGTTTGCGTTAAAATAGTGAATATGGAGGAAGGAGGGAGCGATTAGTTTATTATTTTTCCCTTCTCTAAAATTGAACATTTGGGTGATGAAAATGGGATAAGGTATCACAATAGGCTCATCAAGCGAGCTCAGTCGTAGCATGGGGATTATATCAGGGATAGAGTCCAAAAATATCAGAATAAAGTTGTTGACTGACCCCCGAGAAGGGTCAGTCCAGGGGATTGGGTGATGAGTTTCTTGCCTTACCGTTTGGACTTTACCAGATTAAGCAGTCAACGAAGGAGCCTCATCCCCTTTCAGCCGTTTGTGTGAGTTTTATCGAGTCTCCCCGAGTCTCTCATTAAGGGGGTAAAACCAGATGGAAAAAGAGAATGGGGGCGAGTATTATTATTACAGTGGTAAGAAGTAAGGACCTTCTTGTTTGTCAAGACGGGAGGGCATTTAGTCCACGGGGGGTCCTCAACTGAAAGGGTTGGATTGTGATTCATATCCGAAAGGGAAGGAATTCATTATTCAGAGGGATGTCGATTGGGGGGAAATAAAAATATCAGTTTGTTCAACAACTTCATCAGGACTAACTTTTCAAATGATCCCTTTCGTTCTGTTTCAGCAACTAAAAGAACTAGGCTATCATCAACTCCATTCGCTGAAGACATGTTTGAACAGCATCAGGGCACTCACATCCTCCAGGTAAATCCATTCTCAAATTCTTCAATGATACACTCAATCCTCCATGTGCCCTGAAATAGTAATCCTGTTCTTTAAAGCTCATCTGAGGTAATTCCGATCTCGACTATCCATTTTTTCAGTAAGTTTTCTTGTAAAAATTTTATCGAGAATTATCCTGTTCCCCTTCCTACCTAATCCAAATCCTATCCAACGACTTCTTTGACGTAGCTCAATTGGGAGAGCACTCGATCCATAATCGGAAGGTCCCGGGTTCAAATCCCGGTCTGGACTATCAATTTTTTCAGTAATTTCTCTTGTAAAAATTATATGGAGAATTATCCTGTTGACGTCTTCGTCACCAGAGCACCCAATTTTCTTCATTCATCAATGATCATTTCACTTTTCACCAATTGCTGCAATGATTGTACTCTGATTACTTCCTTCAAAATTCTGAATAAAAATCATTATCTATCTACATTTGTTACTCACGGAAATGGAAATGAAAGATGGACCTCATATAATGTCAACTCCTTAGCCTCTGCCAGCTCGTAAAACCCAAGACCATTTTCGTAACACCAGTAAAAGCAAGTCTGTAGATCTCACCCTTACTCCATGCTTTTCTGTTACAGTCGTTGGATGGTTTCGCAATGGCCGTAGCTGCTGATGGACGATTCCTGTACATTTCCGAAACGGTCTCCATTTACCTCGGTCTGTCCCAGGTGAGTTACTATTTCAACTTAATCATAAAACCCTTGGCTATCCGGAGAAAATTAAATGATCAAAATTCCTCTGTAAGAATCCACAAAACTGAGACATAGTAAATGTGACATGATAATAATTCCAACTTCTTATACCGTACGCTATGGATCACGGTCTATATTGACTCGATCAGAATATTAAGTGAATCGCGAGTAGTTTACGAAATGATTCCTTGCAAATTGAGCGAATTGTATCTAGTGCCATTATAACTATTGAATCCTTGTAAAGATCCACTACAACCCGAGAAACTATGACGGATTGACTTGAAACCATAAGTCTAGACTTGAGATAAAAATGATAGAGGACGGTCATCGTTCATTTTTTATTCTTTAATTTTCGACACGAAGACATGAGGAAGCCTTATAGAGGCGAGGTCAAGGGAGCTAGTAGGACTGGGAGGAAGTTTAGGTGGAAAGGTTGGCGGCCATACTGGCTGGCACCAGGCACGAATGTACCCAACGGGGGCTGGGGGCGGCTGGAGAGTATAAGGTGAGGTGAGGTGAGGTGGGATGGGGTGGGGTGG